CCCCCCCCCCCGTCGACAATTTTTGTGGGAAGTACAGTTACGTTGTAAATGCTTTTGCGTCACTTTCCCTCAATTTGCCATACCAAATTTCGAAAATTTTGGAAATTAGAACCCTAGAAATGCCATTTCCTGCGATATGGGCATTGAATTATGAGCTTCAGTTTGACTTCAAAAAAGGAAAAACCTTGGAAATTATGCCATATTTCTGAATTTGATTTTTTTTTGCACCCCCCTTGCACCCCTGTTGACCAAGGCCAACAGGGGTGCGCACCCCTGTGCACCCTGACCCCCCTATAAATCCACCCCTGGGTCACATCCCACCCACTAAAATTAGTGGTAATAATTAAGTTTGCAAAACCTCATTAGCTTCTCTTGTCACTTCGAATCGTGGCTTTTAATTGACATAGTTTTCAATACTGGATACCAGACTTTCACTTCGAATAAATTATACAGTATACTTTACTCTTGTTTTATGTATAGCTGCACTTAGATTTTGTCATTTAAAATCATGTGTTCCATGTATTTACACCTTCGAAATTATGTACAATTTCAGGGACTCTAGATTTCAAATTTTTCCTGGGGACACATGCACCCCTTCAAAACATGCACCCCTTCAAAACAAAAAAGATGCACCCCTTCAAAACAAAAAGATCAGAACAAGACGAGTCCCTTGGATTACAAGTTCACAAACATGCACCCACAAACATGCACCCCTTCAAAACAAAAAGATCAGAACAAGACGAGTCCCTTGGATTACAAGTTCCATAAAAGAACTTATTAATACAAGGGACAAGCTTAAAAGAAAAGCCATTATTACGAACCTCGAAAATGATTGGTTAAGTTATCAAAGAACTAGGAATAAAGTAAATATAGAACTAAGAAATGCCAAAAAAGATTACTATTCCACGAAAATTGCTGGTGATAAGTCCAATCCTAAGAAAGCTTGGAACACCATAAACAGTTTATTGGGAAGGCAAAACAAACCAACAATTGTAAATGAACTAAAACTTGGTGAAAATAGTTTAACTAACCCTAAAGATATTGCAGAGGGTTTTAATGATTATTTTTCAAATATTGGCCCAAATTTAGCTAGCCAAATTAATACTTCAAATTTGAACTTTGAAACATATGTCAAAAATACTGAATCAGAGTTCACCGCATTCCAACCTGTCACGGTCAATCACGTCTACCATCTTCTGACTGGTCTCTCAAGCAACAAAGCCACTGGTGTCGACAAAATTTCTTGCAAAATTATTAAGATTGCTTCACCTGCTATCTCAGATTCACTAACACATATTTTTAATCAGGCCATTACTCTGTCCTCATTCCCAGATGAATGGAAAATGGCTAGAGTAATACTTCTGTACAAAAATGGCCAACGTAATGTGGCAGGAAATTACAGACCAATTTCTGTCCTGCCAGCCATTAGCAAAATTATGGAAAAAATTCTGTATAATCAACTGTACAGTTACTTATCCAAATTTAGACTTTTAAGTGATAGCCAATTTGGTTTTCGAAAATTTCATTCTACGGCTACTGCATTGTTAGATTGTACAAATGACTGGTATGTGAATTT